CAGTAGCTCAGCAGGAAGACCACGAAACTCCACTGCTGGAACATGATCGCTTTCCGGCGGATCTTTGGGACCTGCAAGGAGAAGTGGCGCTGAGCGAGTGGAGCCGGACGCCAGGAGAACCAAGAGGTTGGGGGTGGGGGGTGGGGGGCGGAGGAGGAGGGGGGAGGGCGCCAGGCGTGGGCTCCCCGCCTCCAAACGCCAGCCAGCCAGCCAACCTCCCAAGCGTCGAGCAGGGAGCGCGGCGGAGGCGCGGGACGCCCCTTCGAGGAGGAGGAGGAGGAGGAGGAGGGGGGGAGGAGGAGGAGGAGAAGAGGAGGAGGAGAAGAGGAGGAGGAAGAGAAGAGGAGGAGGAGGAGGAGGAGGAGGACCCTCCGACCGGCAGGAGAACTCCCCGCCTCGTACTTTGCTCAGGTCCCGAGCTTCTGCCCGCTGCGCTTCTCCGCAGCTGCCTTTCTGACTGCTTGCCTCCCTCCCTCCCTCCCTCTGGATCGCCAAGGGATGGGAGGAGGAGGAGAAGGAGGAGGAGGAGGAGGAGGAAGAGGAGGAAGAGGAGGCCAGCTTGGGAAGCCAAGGGAAGAGCAGCCACCCCACTGCCGCCCACCTCCATCGGGCACTGCCAGCCGGGCAGGGGGACCACCCACAGCCCTTGGGGGGGGGAGGAGAAGAAGAGCCCCGGAGCGGGCCACTCGGCCCTGTCACTCACGCCGAGGACCTGGCCAGACGGGCCGAACCCTCTGAGAGGCGCCGGACAGAGGCTCGGGGTTCGAGGCACACTCCCTGCGCGCAGAAATCTAGCGCAGCAGCGGCGGTCCCTCCTTGCCCGATGGAGCTCTCCGCGCGGCCAAAGCTTGGGGCAGTGGCGGGGCGGGGAGGGAGGGTTGAAGAGGGCAGGGTCCCCGAAGGAGGTGTGGGTGGGGGGCTGCCGGGGGGGGGTCCATGTCAGGTGCGCCCACCCCAAGCAATTAGAGCAGCAGCTCCACCAGCCTCGCCCTCCGGAGGCGAACGGCGCAGGATGGCCGGGCTGGGAGAGGCTAGGCGTCCGCCCGTCCGTCCATGAATCGGACTCTACACCTCCGAGTCCTCCCTCCTGCCCATTCTGGCCCGTGCGCAGGGAACGAAAGTCTAAAAGCAGTTCGACTCCAGGGAGGAGCCGGTCAAAGCCCGCCTCAAATGCCCGGACCCCCCCCCCCTTGCCAGCCGGAGAGTCCAAGCAAAAGCAATGCTGGTCCAGTTAGGGGGGCGGGGGCGGCGCAGAACCCCCCCCACCCCTCCTGTCATTCTTCCACTGGTCTCTGGAAAAAGGGCTGGGGGGGGGGCGCGCGGCAGGTGGTGCTTCGTCTGCGCCCCCGCCCGCCATCTGCGCTCAGCTGGAGACGGGCCAGCCCCGCCCCCGGCCTAATTCCTCCCCCCCGGCGGGGGGGGGGGTCCCGTCTGGCTGGGCAAAGCCAGCCAAGGGCTCCGCTGCCCTTCCCATCTGAAGGTCCCCGTCAGGATGTCACGCCCGGGTCACGGCGCCCTCCGAGGGAGAGCCGGGAAAGGAGGCCACAGCGAAGCCCAGGCTGGCCCTCCCCGGGTGTCTGGGTGTTGGGGGGGGGGGCAGGCGTCGCCTCTGAGGAGCCGCCAGCCAGTGTGGCCAAGGGCCGCCCCCCCCAGTCGGTGCCAGAGGGGGGCCAGGTCGGGTCAGCTCGCCCTTGGAAAGAGGAGGGCGGCTGAAGGGCCGGGTCGCCCCAAAGGCGGGCGGGGACTCGGGGGGGGGGGAAGACTTCGCCCTTTGTGACCGGTCAGCCCGTCCGCTGAAGCTGTGCGGAAACGGGCATTGTGTGAACGCTGCCAACAGCCGCAGCCCGGCGCGTCGTGAGAACGCAGCTCTCCAGCCTCTCCAAAAAGACAGGAGCTCCGTTCTCGGAACCAACTTATCTCTCGGACTCGCTTCTCTGGCCAAGTAGCCCGCAGGCCCTTGCGCAACGTCCCGAGACCCTGGAGGGCGCGGACGGAGCTCTCCTGGCTGTCCGATGAGCTGGGCGCAGGCCGGGGCGAGTGCCTTGCAAAGGAGAACGACACCCCCCCACACCCCACACCCCTTTAATCCTGCCTGGGTCACCAAGGCCGAGGCAGTTCTTGGTCTCCCGTTCGCGCTCGGGGGGCTGGGCTCATTGCCGCCCCCTACAATGCCTGGCATCAGCTCCCCCCTCTCCATCCCTTCGCCCTCCGCCCCGTGGGTACCACGCGGCGCTGGGGACCGAGGCTTTCCCGAAAAGAACCGCGTCCCCCGGGGGGGAGGGAGCAGCACCAAGCGTTTGGAAACCAATGGAGTAAAACCGTGGGGGACGCGCTCCCCGTTTCTCCCTCTCCATCCTTCACCTTTTCCATGGCCGCCTCTCCTCTTCCTTGCGCGGAGCCCGATGGGCAAAGCAGGGCAGGGCAGGGCAGGGCGGCTCCCCGAGACGGGAGGGTCTCTTCCGCGGTGGGTCGAGGACGGGCCGTCGGGGCGTCTTCTCCCCTCCTTCCGATCTCCAGAAAGGGACGGGAGGAGAGCAGGTGCGAGGCTGCCTCTCTCTCTCGGAACCACTGGAGGAGCCGGGCGGGATCCCGGGCTTTGTAGGACCCCGGCCGGGGGTGGGGGCTGGGGTGGGCGACCCCCCTCGCCTTAGCCTTGAAAGGAACCGGCCCGCGCACCCCGCCAGGGTTCAGCCAATCGTGGCGCGAGGGAGGGGCTCCCACGCCGGGCCATTGGTGGAGGGCGCGCCAACTCGGGACCGGGCGGGACCCTTTTTTGGGTTCTCCACCTGCCTCCCTGGGGAGGACAAGGGCCGCTTTCCCGCAGGCTGCTCCGGGCCGAATCCTAGACTGGAAAAGTCGGGAGGAGCCTTAGAGACCATCTAGTCCATCCCCGGGAATCCACCGGCCTGAATGCTGAGGGAGGGCTATCCAACCGACCCGTCTCCTTTGGGATATGGAGAAGGAGCCATGTCAAAGCTTGGAATGGAGACTAACTCCTGGAGCCGAGAGAGAGAGAGGGGGGGGTCCCGAAGCGAGGGGGAAGGGCTTCACCTTTTGAAACAGTGCCGTAAAAAAAAAAAAATCGGGGTGCGCGTGTCCCAGATCTGGATGCCTTTGGGGCTCCTTTTCATTTCCCTAATTTTGCCTGGCAGGGTTTCTCCTTCGCCCCAACAGTTCAGGGAGACCTCGCCCCCAAAACTGGCGGGAGACACAGCCCATCGTCATGGGTTCCCCCAAGTTTCAGACCTCAAGTTGGTAACGCCGCAGCGTCGGTGCGAACACGTGTCTCGGCCGCGCTGCCAATTCTTAAGACTTTTACGCAGCAAGCCAAGTCTCTGGACTTCTCCCCCCCCCCTTGCTCGCCCGGAGAATCTTTGACTCGGGGGCATTTGGCGTCTTGCAAACAGGCCGGTTGATTTCTCACGCCTGCTAGGAAAGGGTCGTCCTCCCGCGGGGAGCACGCTGTGATCAGCCACGCTGGGGGGGGGCATAAGGGCATTTGTCCTCCCTCGCGAAGGGCGGGAGGGAACGAAACGCGACATTTGGTCCAACGGAGAAAGGGTTCCTACCTCTTAATCGCCACAACGACTAACAGCGTTCCTAGCAAAGGTGCGTTGTGTGAAACACCACCCTACAGATCTTTGTCCGCCCTCTTTCTTCCCTCCCTCCCCCCCTCCTAGGCAGGCAAGAAGGGAAGGGGAAGAGGAGGAGGAGGGGAAGGAAAGTGGAAGGAAAAGAAAGAAGAAAAGGAAAGGAAGGGAAGGAAAGGAAAGGAAAGGAAAGGAAAAGAAGGGAAGGGAAGGGAAAGGGGAATGGGAAGGAAAGGAAAGTGAAAGGAAAGGAGGGAAAAGAAAGAAGAAAAGGAAAGGAAGGGAAGGAAAGGAAAGGAAAGGAAAGGAAAAGAAGGGAAGGGAAGGGAAGGGAAAGGGGAATGGGAAGGAAAGAAAAGGAAAGGAAAGGAGGGGAAAGAAAGAAGAAAAGGAAGGGAAGGGAAAGGAGAATGGGAATGGGAAGGAAAGGAAGGAAAGGAAAGGAAAGGAAGAGAGAAGGGAAGGGAAGGAAAGGAAAGGGAAGGGAAGGGAAGGGAAGAAAGGAAGGGAAGAAAGGAAAGGAAAAGAAGGGAAGGGAAGGGAAGGGAAGGGAAAGGGGAATGGGAAGGAAAGGAAAGGAAAGGAAAGGAGGGAAAAGAAAGAAGAAAAGGAAGGGAAGGGGAAGAGGAGGAGGGGAAGGAAAGGAAAGGAAGGAAAGGAAAGGAAAAGAAGGGAAGGAAAGGGAAGGAAAGGAAAGGGAAGGGAAGGGAAGGGAAGGGAAAGGGGAATGGGAAGGAAAGGAAAGGAAAGAAAAGGAAAGGAGGGAAAAGAAAGAAGAAAAGGAAAGGAAGGGAAGGAAAGGAAAGGAAAGGAAAAGAAGGGAAGGGAAGGGAAGGGAAGGGAAAGGGGAATGGGAAGGAAAGGAAAGGAAAGGAAAGGAGGGAAAAGAAAGAAGAAAAGGAAGGGAAGGGGAAGAGGAGGAGGGGAAGGAAAGGAAAGGAAGGAAAGGAAAGGAAAAGAAGGGAAGGAAAGGGAAGGGAAGGAAAGGAAAGGGAAGGGAAGGGAAGGGAAGGGAAGAAAGGAAGGGAAGAAAGGAAGGGAAGGGAAGGGAAAGGAAGGAAAGGAAATGAAAGAAATGGGAATGGGAAGTGAAAAGGAAGAGGAAAGGAAAAGGAAAGAGGAAAAGAAAAGACAGGAAAAGGAAAGAGGAAAGGAAAAGTATTTTGTCAAGTTTTTCTAGCTGGCCTCTCCGCCTCCTGCGTTCCTTTGAAGGAAGACCTTTCGATCTCCAGGAAGACTGAAAGCGTCAAGGATTTCATTTGGCAAATAGCTGCGGGCGAAGGGCTGCTGGCCTGGGCCGGGCAGACGGGGGAACCGGGCAAAATCCCAGAGGAATGACGGGCAAGAGAAAACCGCGGAGGGAGCGCAGGGGAGAGAGAGCGAGAGAGCGCGCGCGCGCCTCGGGTCCGGCGGGGGAGACCCAGTGAGCTGTCCATGGTGGCTGCAGCCCCGGGCTAAGGCGCGGACGCCGCTCCGCCAGGCCGACGGGAGGCCATCGCTCCCACCTGGAAAGGCCCCCAGAGGCTGACCCCTGGGAGGGGGCAGCCTTCAACAGGGCCGAAATGGGCATCCTGGAGACACTTTTTCAGGTCCTGTCTGGAAAAAAAAGGAAGGTTCTACATTTACGCAAGAAAAACCAAATGCACAGATACAAGTACAGGTGGTATCTGGCTCAATAGTAGTAACCGTGAGAGGGACCTCGGAGTCCTAGTGGACAATCACCTAAATATGAGCCAGCCGTGTGCTGCAGCTGCCAAAAAGGCCAACACAGTTCTAGGCTGCATGAACAGAGGGATAGAAACAAGATCAGGTGAAGTGTTAATACCACTTTACAAGGCCTTGGTAAGGCCACACTTGGAATACTGGATCCAGTTTTGGTCACCACGATATAAAAAAGAAGTTGAGACTCTAGAAAGAGTGCAGAGAAGAGCAACAAAGATGATTAGGGGACTGGAGGCTAAAACATATAAGGAACGGCTGCTGGAATTGGGAATGTCTAGTTTAATGAAGAGAAGGACGAGGGGGGACATGATAGCAGCCTTCCAGTATCTCAGGGGCTGCCCCAAAGAAGAGGGAGTCAAGCTATTCTCCAAAGCCCCTGAAGGCAGGACAAGAAGCAACGGATGGAAACTAATCAAGGAGAGAAGCAACCTGGAATGAAGGAAAAAAATTCCTCACAGAACAATTAACCAGTGGAACTACCTGCCTCCAGAAGTGGTGAATGCTCCAACACTGGAAGTTTTTAAGAAGAGATTGGGCAGCCATTTGTCTGAAATGGTATAGGGTTTCCTGCCTGAGCAGGGGGTTAGACTAGATGACCTCCAAGGTCCCTTCCAACTTTATTATTATTATTATTATTATTATTATTATTATTATTATCATCATCATCATCATCATCATCATTATCATCATCATCATCATTATCATTATCATCATCATCCCTCCAGGGAAGGAAAGATGGGAAAACACTTTTCAACCGAGTGGTCTACGTAGAAGCCCCAGTCACACCAGGACCCATGTCTACCTGTAGATCCTCAAGCAGCCCCACTGTGGACAGATGAACCCCAAAATAATCTCCAAGGATTATCTTAATTACATGGGCAAAAAGCTTTGAATATGAACTTGTATGGGAGATTTATTTTTTTGGTGTTTTTTTTCCTGGTCACAAAGTCTAGCATATAATGCAAGTCCTATGAGCCTCGTTCACGGGAAATGTTTTTGACTTCAAAGGAGAGAGTATAAATTGATATAATCGGCGATGACAGACGTTCTAGGGCAGAGCAAGAGGAGCTCTTTGCAATCATGCTGGAAAATGAGTTGCATTCTTTAAGCAGCGTGAGTGAGAATTCCTGGCTACCCCAGTTAGTCTCTACATAACCTTTTTTTCCTCCCTATAACCAATTTCGAATCTGAAAAAAAGAGAAGACTTTATCTGCCTTCTGTGTTTCATTTGGACTCTAGATTTTATTAGCATTTTTTCTGGGGGGGGGGGCAGAGGGAAAGCCCCAATGTAAAGACAGGTATATATAATTTTAAAACGTGAAAGAGGCAGAGAACCCAAGATTTCAGCTGCCAAGTTTTCCCACATCTTTTTTTCCAGATACCTTTGACACTTTTCTGCCTTGAATCTTCCTGCAGCTTCTCATCCCTTATTTGCATAACAGAATAACAAAGTTGGAAGGGACCTTGGAGGTCATCTAGCCCAGGGGTGTCAAACTCAATTTCATTGAGGGCCGCATCAGCATTGCGGTTGCCCTCGGGGGCCGGGCAGGTGTGGCCAGGGTGGGTGTAGACGGAGCGGGTGTGACCTATTGGGCCAGCTCTACATCGTTCGCGTCAAGGGTGCCTGTGGGGGCCTGGGCAGGAGTGGGACAGATCTGGGGGTCTCTGGCAGAAGAGGGTGGGACCACGGGGCAAGTGCCAAGGCATGGTCCACTGGAGGACCCTCACTGCCTGTTGAAACCCCTCCGCCGGAGCCCATCAAGATGGATAGGTGAAGTAGGCGAGGGCCATTTGCTGGCCACTTCCAGGCGATGGTGCATTTCTTCATTCCTCACAAAGGGGGACACCTCCCCAGCATGCACCCAGGGGGCGCGGGCGATGCGGCAGGGGCCGGTTCCTCGCTGTTTCTGGAGGGCCTTGTGGAGCTAAGACTGAATGCATTTCAGCATAGATGGCCACCACAAAATTGTACATTGGCTCCCGCCCGGCCTGGGCCAGGGCCAAGGCAGCGGGGGCCGTTCCCTCACTGTTTCCAGGATGGCTTCGCGGGCCACGTGAAACCACGTTGCGTGCCACATCCAGCCCCCGGGCCTTGTGTTTGACATGTCTGATCTAATAATAATAATAATGATAAAGTTGGAAGGGACCTTGGAGGTCATTTAGTCCAACCCCCTGCTCAGGCAGGAAA